GGTGGGAGGGGTACTGAAATTGTTCCAAAACGCGACTTTATTTTCTTGACGACCTAATACTTCAAACTTTGATTTCTTTCGTTTGATGGTCTTTTATAGAAGCATTTGCCATTATTTGAATTTTTCTCCGCATTCTATTACATCTTATATAAAAACTCTTTTTCTTCATGAATATAGGACACTTAAACTGAACAGAATAAAACAATAAAAAGTAAATAAAATGCACACACACACATTATCATGTACACAATATCAGTAATCATATTACAAATAAATACCAATTTGGTATCTGTTAAATCGTGAAAATAAAATTACATCAGTGAATTTGTTCTGTGCAACGTTTTGTGAGAACATTTTATTGAACTAATACAAAAAATTACAAGTTAAGGTTAACGTAGTAATAGCCATGTTGTACTTTTTGTCAAGTCTTGAGTTTTCGTTAACGATACTAAATAAAACTAAATAATAAATAACAGAGTAACACTAAAACGGAAACTCACTTGAAATTCCGGCGGACCCCCTTCTTCTCTAATCAATAATAAGTGAGTATGTCCATCTACCATAACTTCCTTCTTGAAACGACCACCTATAGATAAGTAAGGCTATTTGATTTAAAACGATCGCGTGTTTAGAATCGATCTGCAAATACGTCTCCTATTTGTATTTTATTTATAAATCATGTAATACATTTATATTACAGAGTGGTGTTTACATAAGCGTTAATGACACTTATAAAGACATAATTACACATCAATAACTACAACTCCCCTACTTAGATAATCAAAAAACAAACACAAACTAATAATTTGCATTATCAAATTATTCTGATGCATGTGTATGAAACATTTAACATCAACGATAACCTGATTTCATTCCTACAGTTTAACCCAGTTACTTTCAGTCAATTCTAAGTTCATTTGCAAATACATTTTTCATTAGCTTTAATTTCATTAGGTAATTGTCTCCAAAATTTGGGATCTGTGCATCTCACAGTATCAATAATTGTACTAAATGTTGAATACAGTATATAATATTATTTTGCTGTACGTATACTATAATAATGGACTGTATTATTCATAACAAGATAATCTGAAAAGTCTTTAACCAATAACGAGTTATGTCCATTTTATATAAACATTGTCAGTTTTTTTTTGTTTTGTTTTTGCAAAATATACAAAGGTTTCAACATGAACTTTTCCTACATTACCCCCACAACAAAACATTATTAGAATAAGGTAAAATAAACAAACAATAAGTTACCCTCAAGGCCTTTTTTCTTTTTTGGATAAACTCAAGTTTCAAAAGCATAGCAACATCACGTGCAATATTTGGTTTTATCATTAGAATTAGAGAATTCCAAATTAAAGTTTCAAGTTAAATAACTATTAAACCACTGTAAAGCTATTCCTTTATACCAATATGATTTTTTTCAATTATTTCATGATTTACTGTATCAGAAGCTTTAGTTCTAAAAATACACCTATTACAGTTTTTAACTAATCTAACGCTTTTTGAAATCATATCTATTAATGTTATTACTGCTAATTCAATCGAGAGCTGTTGTTTAAACCCTATTGGGAGTTCTTTAATATATTCTCCCGAGAAATTTAACAAAGTAATACAACCTTTTATTACATTTCATTTATTATATTTAAAACTGAACTTGGTTTATAGTTGTCAATATTTTCATAGTCTCCATCTTTATATGTAGGTTTTATTGCAGTAATTCTTAAATAACCAGGAACCATCCCTTTTCCCAAACTATCATTAGGAACTAGTTGGAGTACCCGTTCGTTGAACGGCCGAAATCAAAACTCGTTTGTAACAAGGGATAGGAAATTGTGCTTCTAATTTTTTCTTAACATAATAAACATTAAAAAGTACAATAAAAATACATAAAGGTACCAATACTGAAAAGAAAAACATACTGGTTTCAAAAATTCTATCGATATGAAATTAGATGAGGGGGTCCAACTCCCCTCATTTCATCCTGTATCATTGTGTCAAGAAGTGGTGATTTGGTAGTTTTCCGAAATTAGATGGGGTCCCCCCCCATTTCATGACATTCCTCATGTCATCATTTACTGTTGTGTAAAGTTTTCTGTTGATTGATCAAGAAATGTGGAAACTTATAACGAACAGATATGAAGTGACAGATATACGACCGTATATTTGTTTCCCGGACCCACACTTTGCTTTATATAGTAGATTCTAGACAAAGAAGTAGAATTTCATAAATTTTTACTTTATTAATCTAGAAACAATACCACCATAACCAGATGATTTTACTTTTTAAAGAAATTCACAATATTCATTGTTTCTATTAGACTAGTGGGTGAAAAAATAACGAGTATTTATTGGGAACCAGTAAAGGGTTTACCAGGTTCATCAAAGGAAAATGCTGGATTTGACTAACTGTAGAGTAATATTCATTAAATAAATTGGAGATGTTATCATTTTCCTTTACTTTAGTATTACTGTTATTTTTTTATTTAAAGAATCTGGTCATTAGAAGATTTGTCTACAAGCCTTTTAAATATAGACCATTTTCTCTATATTATTGCAATTATTGTTTATTTATAATATGAATTTCTTACTTTTTTGTATTTTCTTTGCTTCTTCCCACTAAACTTTGTTATTGTAATTAGATTTGGCTTTTTTTTTTAATACAACGATCATGTTTAGTCGTAGTTTCGTAATCTCCATTAAACCAAGGGTTATATTGATTATTAATCACTTTTCTTTTTTATTATTAGTGATAACAAAAATAATCATATACACTAAATAACTTTTATATAAGTAAATTAAACTGGTCGCTCACATTCTCCGAAAGATAAAGAAATGGCAAGTCAATTTATAATAGTATAGTTTTATGATTATTTATAGTAATGGTCCTAAAACTTCCTTCTCAAATTGTTAATACTGGAAAACGATCCTAAGTGAGCAGAAAAATATAATAATCACATTTGTTTCAATTGTTTGTAGTTTAGCGCAAAGCTATACAAAGGATTACTGGGGGGCGTTTTCAATGCACTGTAAAAAAAAAAAAATATAGGCAAACAGAATGGAAATCGCATTAGTAAATATCCGTCTTTCATATATGTATAATAACAATTTAAGTTAAAATCTCCACAGATATAACACTCATCACTTCTATTTTTAGTTTGCATAAACATTTGCTGCGTAGTGGACGATAAATAGTATCAGTAAGTTTATGAAAATTAAATGTGAAACATCTAGTAAACACTATTTCGTTTATATTATATTTTACTTCAAAAAACAAATCTTATATTCCATATAAAGAAAGAATTATTTAAGCATGTTGTAAATATTCGTTATCTTTAAACGAACTTTCAATTATTACTGAAATCAAAAAATAACTTTTAGATTTTTGTATATTTAGCAGTTTGTTTCCAACTGAATCTTGACATTCTGTAAATAAGAATCAGAAAAAACATTTTTATCCTAATTACTTTATATTTGGTTTATTTATTTAAAAAATGCAAGGTAATTTGCATCTCTGTAAAGTACATAATACAACGAGTGCAACTTGATTACTCTTTTTTTTATAAATATTAAATCTGACAAGTTAATATTAATATAAATAAACTAGACTAAAGATTTCAAAAATAATTATTATCAAACTAAAACAAAAATAAACTAACGACACTAAAATAAATCCTCTTAATGGAAAGTTAAAAAAACGGTCGGAAAATGGGCATTTTTGCACATTGAATTATTTCATTTTTGTTCGTTTTTTTATTTTGTATCAAATGAAATTGATGCAAGAATAACAAACGAACCATATCTAACCTAATAATTACTTAATTGAGGCATGAGATAATATTTTGTACACTAGCAGCGACCTGGAAAACATTTGTGGTAGTTTTCATGCTCTTCGCTTGAATTTTCCTCACTTTATCATTTTCATGAACGCCATTTCTTGCAGGCATTATGTGTTAGATCGATAAATCCTGGTCTATTTGAATAAAAAAAAAATTCGCGATCAAACAAACAAACTCACGTAGACATAACTTTATCTAATAAATTTACACGTACGTAACTTTATAAATGTACACGTAAGGTAAACAATAAGTCAAGTAATAGTATTTATAATAGTGTGCAGAGTATGAAACAGTTATGAGCGTTCAGTGTATGACAGTTTTACAAGTTAAAACAAAGAAACTCACAAAAACGAAAAATAAAACTCGTAGTAAAGAAGAAAGTAGCTAAAAGGAGATTATAGCAGTCTATGAAACGAACCGAAGCTAAATTATTGCAATGTAAAGTTGTAATGAAAGCAAACTTGCTGAATATGCAGAAACGCTTGAATCACAAAGTAATAAGCATATGGTTTTGAATAAACTGTGCATGTATATTTTAGACATAAATAAGACTAGAAAGCCAATAGAAACTGTATTTAGTATAACGCTTTTTTTAGGCAATTACACTCGTTTAATATTGTTTGTGTAAAATACTTTGCAATAAAAAAACTGAAATTGAAGTCGAAGCCTGTCGTTTGACTGAACAAAAAATAGGTAAGGTTATTCTGAATGGAAAAGCCAATAAGCAATCAGAGCTCTTCAAAAAGACCTTTCTAACGACATGAGATTTGTAGCGTTACATCGAGAAATTTACAAGAAAAATTCCGGACAGACAAATGCAAGCCTAATATTAATATAGATTTGTAATATTTACTCCTTACAACAAGTTTACTATAGGTAACAGGTGTCGAACCTTTTGACATCAATCGCAGTTATAAGTATATAAATTCTACTCATAAATCTAGAATCCTTTTTCTTCAGAAACACAGGTCTATATTTTCTCTTCAGTTTCACATAAATTAACCCGTTATGTTTTTCACCGTCAAATCATCTTCTATATGTTCTAAGAACTGTACTCTTTCCTTTCCACTTCCTTCGACATTTCATAACTCGTATTTACACACCTACACTTGGACATTTTACTATTACCGATCTTCGAACAATTAACCTGTTTTTTATTTTTTTATTTTTATTTTTTATTTTTTTTTTACATGGGGACAGTAATTTGCATTGGACGCGAAAGCCTTACGACGAAGCCTTTGGCAATGAAACTACGCTGGAAGGATATTGTCAAAATATACGGTCGTCAGATAGAGCATGACCGTATGGGACGATATGGACTATAACGACGTAGTGAGGCTCTAAAATGTATTTCAATAAATGTTGAGTACGATAATCTAATTGCTTTTCGCTATTCACTTTAAAACTATACACTAACTAATACACTATTCAATTACAAAAAAATAAAATACTTATTGCATAAGAAATACCAACCTACCATATAACTCATTTACATAAGTCTATTACCTATGTTTCTTTCTGGCACGTAGAATCTCAGTAAAGACTCATTCTTAAGAGAGTTTACTGTTATCCGAGAGACAATTAAAATCCACCTTTAAGATATTTCTGTTGTACGCAGAAGCTAACTAAAACATCTCACATTCAGGAGAGTCCTATTGGCAAGTAGGGGCAGGTAAGGTACAAACACATGCATAAAACAGAGTTAAAACTAGAGTGTTAAAAAAATAAAAAGTTCTTTACAACAGAGTTGATCCTAGGAAAATTGTGGCCTGTGCGAACCTTGTATTTGGCGCCCCTGACCCTGTAAAATTGACAAGAATTGCTAATTGCAATGTCGATTTAGGCACTCCTTTGGACCACTCCAAGGACCGACCCTGCTTTATAATGCTATAGAACTCGATGAGTTTTATTATTACCGCAAGCTCGGAAGCATTTTAGTTTGATAAGAAAAAAGTACATAATACTTATAAATATGACTACTATCTCACTAATTTACGGACTGATGGCTAAAATATACAGTAATAGCCTTTGATAAGTTTGTTTGTTTGTAAATAAGCACAAAGCTACACAATGGGCTATCTGTGCTCTGCCCACCACGGGTATCGAAACCCGGATTCTAGCATTCCAAGTCCGCAGACATACCGCTTTGCCACTGGGAGGCCCCTTACTAAGTTAGAGCTTTAGAAATTACATAGATTAATATTACAGAATGTCCGGTGAATACACAACATAATAGTAAAATGCATGGCCCATATATATTCAGTTTCCTAAATTAAAAAACAAATTGCATCTTTAGACATACATACGTATTCAACACTGCACATGATTCAACAACCACGTGATAACAAGCAATGTACTGGCCCATTGTCCATTCTTAAGACGTTTTACTGTAACCTATTTCTAACGTGCAATGTTTAAAAAGAATTCTAATTTACCGCTATAAATTCAAAGCTATTTTCTGATTTCCGACTTCAATTTACATTGTTTTCAACACAAAAAAATTACAATGTACCAAACAAATTAAGAAATTAAAACACGCACAGGTTGGTTAAAATATCCAGTAAAAGAATAAGATAAACTCACCTTCATGAGAGTCCTCTGGTAAGTAGGAGCCAGTAAGGTACCGATGGACTAATGCTGATCTCCCACTGTTCAAACTTCCTACAATTCCCTATAGAAAGACATTCCTATAAGTAAATCCACTCAAAATCTTGGTTTCAATAATGTATTTCTTTTTTCACAAAACTGATACTTATAGACAAATTATTGACAACATGTTTACAATTAAGACCACGAACTTCCAAATCCACATTTTTCTGGCAATTTTCATATAAAACATGCAAAATAACTACTATGTTAGTCTACTAACAATAATGTACAGTTAGTAGGCTTGTTTTTGCAGTAAACTAAAACATTTTATTGTGACTGTATAAAAAAAAACTTTAGATTTTTCTTCATAAAAAGGAAAGTGACTTATTTTAGTATATTGAACAGTACAAGAAAACCAAAAAAAAAAAAATGCCAGTGGAAAAAAAACTAAAAACTGACAGACAAAACTGGATAATTTGTTTGAACATATGCGGTTATACTGTGAGAGTTAATGCATATATTTCGAGTCCAGCGCTTTCCTTTGAACAATTTTCCCCATTGTCGATTGTGATGACCACGACTACGCACAACTGCCCACACTGCAATTTCCACTCTGACGAGTTTCTGAAAAGGTTAACGAAATTAATTTTAGACCATACATCTTAATGAACTTTCCAAGACTCGCCATCGTATTTGGATGTCGTCTTTAAAGACCACGTTTAAGTGGACTAAAAGTACAAAAGACCATTGGAACTGCATCAGCTCACTTGACCGATATATGGTTGAATGGTATTGCCAATATTCCACTTCTTCTACCATCTTTATCAAGAAAACTTTTGTTAATGTAGACGTATGACTGGAAGCTTGAGAATTTTTAGCCAGTGAGCATGGGCGTCCGCAGAAATGTTTCCAGGGGAGGGCAAAATAGTGTGAAATTGTGAACTGAATAAAAAATTCATAAACATATGCTAATTGAATAAAGAAAAAATTATGTTTCTCATTTTCCAGATTGGGAGCAAGTGCTCCCTTTTGCCCCCTCCCTGCGGACCTCATGCCAGTTATCTCCATATTCCTAGTTATCCTGTTAACTGTACAGGGAGACATGCTCAGGTTCATCGCAATGACTTTTTTGCCTATGAGAGTTCTATTCTGTGATCATAGCATTCACTTTGCGGATGAGGGCGTGGCTCCTGGTTGGCCTAGGGTGGGGTTGCTGTTCTAGACGCTCAGCGTTAAATATATATGTGAAGGCTCCCTTCTTTGAACTATTGCGTCTTTTGTCCCTACATTGTTAAACTCGTTACCTGAATATACATTTCCTCCACCCATAAATTTTCCCACGGCTGCATTGCATTTTCGAAAGATCGGGAATTCGCCGTAACCAAGTATACCGGTACCAAACATATTACCAGTGTCACAACTGCTAGCGTCTGCGAGACGTGTTCATTGAATTAACGCATATTTAATTAAATACGAGAAATCTCCAGTATATGTATAATAAGTACAAACAATAGAAGCAAAAGTAAGAAGAAATAAACGTAAGTATGTTATATATAAAATACGATTACAACAATAAAAGTAATCACCAAGTTTACAATGAAATGTATCATATAGCAGTCATTTGTAAATACATATGATACAAGGTAATGGTATCAAATGATCTAAAGATTACTCACCAGTCTTAAATCCGGTACGGTATGGCCTAATGTCCATTCTTGGCTGTTAACAAAAGAGTCTGAAAAACAAAATCAAACCTAAATGTTTTCGACAAATAACGAAGGTAGTTATGAAGCTATGTATATCATTTTTGTGTTTGTGAAAATTTGTCATTTGAGTTGTATGCATTGTATATATATATATATATATAGTGTTTTGTTTCGCACTTAAAATAACTGGTGATTTTTGACCTTATATTGTAATACAGACCATGGGGGGGGGGTGATAACTTTGAGGTAGTTTAGAAAATATCTTACAAACTATTCAAAAGAACAAAAATTAACTGAGTAATGTTGTTTGGTATTTGGTATTTTCAACTTAAACCTCATGTTATCCATGGGCTAAATAACTAATTCAGACCCTACAGTTCAGGTAGAGCTATCCCAGAAGAGAGATGAGAGCAATCATTCAGCAGTATCAACATGGCGAGATTGATTGTCACGGTTGTTACGTAATAATGACTAACAGTACATGATTGTCACGGTTGTAACGTAATAATGGCTAACAGTAGATGATTGTCATGGTTGTAACGTAATAATGACTAACAGTAGATGATTGTCACGGTTGTAAAATAATAATGACTAACAGTAGATTATTATCACGATTGTAACGTAATGATAATAACTAACAGTAGATGATTATCACGATTGTAACGTAATAATAACTAACAGTAGATGATTGTCACGGTTGTAACGTAATAATAACTAACAGTAGATTGCATGTCGCGGCTTGAACCTCCTGATCCGCAGTCCAACAGTTTAATCATATAGGCCACGCCAAAGTTAATAGAAACGACATATAATCTAGAAATGTCATGTATGCCTGAAGTAACAATCCAACATTAAATCACAAGGTTAATAACACTTTATAAGGACGATGTTCCAAATCCCGTGTTGTTCTCAGAACTACAACCTCCATGGTCGATGGTTAGTCTGACGCAGTCATGGCCACGACCGCACACTATCACCAACGTGTCATGGCCACGACCGCACACTATCACCAACGTGTCATGGCCACGACCGCACACTATCACCAACGTGTCATGGCCACGACCACACACTATCACCAACGTGTCATGGCCACGACCACACACTATCACCAACGTGTCATGGCCACGACCACACACTATCACCAACGTGTCATGGCCACGACCACACACTATCACCAACATCAAATTTGCTATTGGAAATTCGTATTAAGTGGAAATATGGAGTTAAATTCTTCAAAATGGAGAGTACTTCGTGAAGTCTGAAAACAAATCCTGCGATACTCTTACAACGTTTCCAGTTTTCGATTCATTCATGATAGTACATTTAAGATTCAGAGCGTTGAAGAAGAATCAAAGTTCCTCAGAACCCACTCATTATTACAACTAAGATCTGAAAACAACTTATATGATCACTTAATCATGCTTGCACTGAGAATCAATCCTGATGACAAGTTTGAGTAAATTATTAGTAATTTAATACATATAGACAATGAGATACGTCAATATACACAACAAGAAAAAGGACTCATTGATCTAAATGCGAAATGATACACCATAAACTCACGTTAAGTTTACGTTAAGTTCTTCGGTATACACAAGTTGACGTGTAATTTAAAAAAATAACATTAAAAGGTTAACACATAAAAATGTGTTGACATTTAATATAATTAATAATGAATTGTTTATTTATCAACTTCATAGCTATGCATTTACAAGTATTTACTGTTTCACTGACGTTTTCTTAACTGTTACTTTAAACTAAAGTCCCTTTCTAAAAAATATAAAATACACGCATTAGGGAGCAGAGAGTAGTTGCCTTCTAATCAGTCAGCAGCACCAGTTACCAAAACAGCTTTTCTCAATTTAATAATGCCCTAGTCATAAGGCCCCTACAGTTTAATGTGTAATGCGTGTTTAACGGCGTATCACAACTCAAACCTTGGACCTTCCGATTTTCAGTTAGTTTTTTTTAAATGGATTGTTTCGCCGTCACCCTTTTATGCTTCAAATGGTTTGGTTTGAATTTCGCGCAAAGCCACACGAGGGCTATCTGCGCTAGCCGTCCCTAATTTAGAAGTGAAAGACTAGAGGGAAGGCAACTAGTCATCACCACCCACCGCCAACTCTTGGGCTACTATTTTACCAATTAATAGTGGGATTGACTGTCACCTTATAACGCCCCCACGGCTGAAAGGGCGGGTATGTTTAGTGGGACGGGGATTCGAACCCACGACCCTCAGCTTGCGAGTCAAGCACCCTAACCACCTGGTAATGCCGGGCCTCTTCAAATATTTATAAAAACGATTACAAAAGTAGTAGTTTTGAGAAACTCGTATCTTTATACTTTTGTACTGCGAAAATAGTTTGAGGCTTTAGGACATAAGCAACACAAATGCTCGACAAAGTTCGATTCAGTTTATTAAAAGTTGCAACGAGTTGACAAAAAAATTGATTACATGTTTTGGTTCTAAGTTGTAAGTCATGATCAGGGACAAAAATATCTAGAATTACAATCACTATTTGTGTATACTCTGTACAAAACAATTCAATCCAAGTGAGTTATGTCATAAAGTTTCATAAATATTAACTTAAGCAAGATTACACCAGGACTTCAATCTCTGTTCGGCGTATTATTAAGTTTACTAACATATTACTCACAAACATTTATATAACAAAATCATATTTGATAAATAATAATTTATTAGAAAAAAAAAGTAGTTCGAAGTTTTAGTTGAGGCCGTTGAATTACGCGTCCAGTTAGTTTATCATGTTTAGCCTGGGAATGTGGGGGTGAATCCATAACGTTGCTTTCCTTTACAACTAATTAGTGCAAGTTTAATGTGATTTAGTCCGTATTATACATTGATCTTAATTTAACCAAAATAAGTAATTGCCAGTAACAGTTTAATCTGTAAACACTGCTTTTATCCAAAATACCTGAAGAATTTTTAAGAGAAGGTAAAAAATAAAATTAATTTTTAGATTTTGAGGCTGAAACTTACACTTATACAGGTATACTAATATTATAGCTTTTGGTTGCAAGATACAGCTGCGGCCTGCAATTTTCACCAGTGAACCTGAATAGATGTTGAAAATCAGAATCCGGAAGATACGAGTCCAGTCTTATTAATAATTATTAAATTTTTATATTTCAAAGCGTGAATCCGCATGAAAACTTTGGCAACGATATTTTATATCACTATGCCCCTATTGTTGTTAATGATTAGTTTATCATTCATACAGTGTATAAAAATATTACATTGCTGGTAATTCCTAATATGCATGTTGAAGTGATATATAGGTCACGTGCTTAAAAAATTCTTAAACTTGGGTTCTTTTTAAGCGCATAGCTACACAATGGACTATCTGCGCTGTGTCTACCGCAGAATCGAACCCCGAATTTTAGTTTTAGTAAACCCGCGAGTTAAAATTCGATAACAAGTACCCCACTTTGAGACTAATAATGCTTGGACATGGCTTGAATGGATAATGAAGAAAAACGTTAATATAAGTTTAACATAACAGTAAATGTACAACGTTTCGACAAGGTTTTGTCATCATCGAAACATTGTACATTATTATCCCTAAATTACACGGGAACTGAACTAGGTTTAACTCCATCATTTCTTCATAATATGTGGATATTTATGATATAGTTCTAATTTTCTTTCTTATATCTTCTCAGTTAATTCCAACATCTAATTATACTTCTTTACATAATTTAGACGGGATTTCGACCTTTTATCAAACTCAAAAAAACAAACATTGCGAGTCGTGTTTTGGAAGCATAACACCAACAGCTTAGGAAGAAATTGTGATCTAAAAACACGTTCTTCCAACCTGGTTAAGGAAGATGTAAATATTACGATGAACCCTGTATTCCCTCTTCACTGAATATACATATCATATATAGCATATTTACTCATAAATTATGTGCTTAGCACTTTGAAATAAGGAAAATGTGTGCGGGGAGTTTGGTTTGGATGCTTATAAAACCCTATTAGTCTCATTATTTTATTTTCTGCTAACAAAACACTCATTAATAAGAATTTAAAAAATCATTTACAAATAACTTTACTTGAGGATTAAAGAGCACCAATGGATGTGCAATAATAATACTAATAAAAATATTACCTGAAACACATCTCCTATTAGATCCAGCACCCTTTTTACGCTTGAGTCTTGCTTTAAAAGAATGGCGACGAAGTCCGAATTTCAACATCCAAAGATTCAGTCTAAAATGCATTGCTAACACTCTAGTATTTACTGTCAACAAAATATTAGCTGCTGTGTGAAACAAATATTTTATTCAGAGAATAGTTAGGTCACCAAATAGGTCACAATTAATAATTCAAACAGTTCTGTATTAACAATGGATTTGCTTACACCGTCGACTGTTCCGCTGTGCGTTTGTGTGTATAGATGTGTGTATCTGGTAATACCGGTCGAAGAATCTGGTTTTTGTATACGAACAGAACCTAATAAAAGTTTCCCCCGTGTTTATCATTCAATTTTCGCCGAATTGAAGGTCGAGGAGGTGCATGACTAGCTGAAGAAACTCAACAGTTCATATGTTATAGTCTACAGTGCATAACGTATTCAAGCCGAATATTCTAATTGCACTAAAAACAGAAACAGTAATGTTTATTCAAATTCAAAAGTTGTGATTTTAGAAGCATAAACAACTCGATTGAATATGTATACTTAAAACTCGATAATGCTATTACTATAATAAATTCCTTAAGAAAGAAACTACCATTTCCAAATAGTCGCCCACTGTGATGTGTACTGGTTTCTCAGAGAACTGTAAAGTTGCACAGTAACCGAAGCCACACAAAATGGTTTAATTTGAGAATATGATATAATATTCCTACTTGATATAAGTTACACAAACGTAGCTGACCTCATTCCAATGATAAATCCACTAGGTTAGAGCAAAAGTGCACGAGATTGTATAAAGAGATATTGTATTCAGTACCACGTCTTCAACAAACTTGGGTACAGGATACAGCTGCGACCTGCACTGGTTA